GTTGTGACTAAAATAAAATAATAATAATATAATATATAGCAAATATAAATCTTCGATCATTTCTAACAGTTGTGTTTATGATGCTGAAGCGTGGCTCAGATCAGCTGTTTGTTCTCTTGCAGTCTGAAACGCTGACGTCTGATTGGTTGTTTCCAGGTCGAAGCTGCAGCTGCTGGAGTGGGTGAGCTCCGAGGCCGTCACCACCATCCTCCACAAGCTCATCGAGATGCGGATGGAGCAGCTGTGCCGGGGCGAGTACGAGCGCTCCTTCCTGCTGGAGTTCCAGGAGGTGAAACATCTGCAGCATCTGTCCACGCTGAAACTCACTGTGGCCTGCTCCTCATTTACTGTGTGTGTGTGTGTGTGTGTGTGTGTGTGTGTGTGTGTGTGTGTGTGTGTGTGTGTGTGTGTGTGAGGGAGCAGTGGTTGGAGCTGGTGCTGGGCTGGCTGGCTAAAGTGTTTGTCAGTGAAGCGGACGGAGACGCCGCTTCACTCCCAGCGGCCCCCGGCGGTCTCGGCGTCCAGGTGGTCCCGGGCGGCGGCTCGGTGCTGAAGCAGTGGAGGTGCCACATGCATCAGTTCTTCTGCAGGATCTATGTCAACATGAGGATCGAGGAGCTCTTCAGCATCATCAGAGGTGGGAGTCTGCAGCAGGTTTACAGATCCACGCCAGGCTGAACTCTGACCTCTGAGCTGTGATTGGACGCTGACGCCTGCTGATTCTTTAAGTCTTTTCTTTGCCGCGGAGCTCTCGTTTCCTCTACGGCAGTGTTTCCTCTCATCGCTTAGAGCTCAGCTCGAGTCAGGACGACGGAGCGTTTCAGCTAGCCACCGCTATAGAACAGGGTGGTCAAACATAAGGCCTGTGGACAGAATCGCCCCGGGAAAGAATCCACTCTGGCCCACTGAAAGGATTCGAAAAAAATAAAGAAGAGCATGAAGTTTGTAGAAAGAGCTCCCCGGTGGTCATTCGTGCTACGACAAAGTAATAAAGTAGCAGATAAACATTTAAAACACAGAAAAACTTCTAGTTTTTAGTTTTTCTGTCATTTAATCAGTTTCTGTTTGTAACAGAGCCACAGTCAAAAAACTACAATAATAATTCTCTCTCTCTGTAAACCAGATTTCACACTCTTCTTGGCTCTTGTGCTTCCTTTCAGATTTCCCAGAATCCAAAGCTGCTATTGAGGATCTGAAGTTCTGCCTGGAGAGAACCAATCAGAGACAGCAGCTCCTCACCTCGCTCAAATCTGCCTTCGAAAGCCGCCTACTGCACCCGGGTCGGTTTCTGTCGGGGTTTATTTTTGTGACCTGATGAGTCGCGGTGGCAGATTTGTTTAAGTTAAACGCGATTCCATGTTTAAAGTCAGGATTAGAGAAGAAAACAACAATGAGGTGAAGGTGGAGGTGGAAAAGAGCCCAGAGGAGGTTCAGTGAGGTGGTGAAGGAGGAGGTGGAGGCGGACCATAGAGCTGATGCAGCTGTTTAAAAACAGCATTTGTTGATTTGCTTATTTTGAAGCTGTTTTTCAGCTCGCCGTGCACACGTGTGATTTGTCAGGTCATCCTCATCATCGTGTAGGGAAGCTGGTCTCTATGGTAACGTCTGTGAAACTGACTGATCTGTCTGCAGGCGTTCACACGTCGGACATCCTCACCGTCTACATCTCGGCCATCAAAGCGCTCCGAGAGCTCGACCCGTCCATGGTCATCCTGCAGGTCGTCTCCCAGCCGATCCGCAAGTACCTCAGGTGAGTCCACGCAGGCGCCGGCGGGATTCGCTTTCAGTCCTGCTCTGATCTTTTGGCTCTGATCGTGCACTTTTTTGTGAGTAAAGTTCTACATGAGTTTTGACGTCCTAGCAGAGGGTCAAACGTCCGTGTTGTGTTTCAGGACCCGGGAGGACACGGTGAGGCAGATCGTAGCCGGTCTGACCGGAGATGCAGAGGGCTGCACCGACCTCGCCTCCGAGCTGTCCCGAGGCGACCCGGTGACTCTGGAGATGCAGGACAGCGACGAAGAAGGCAACGACCCCGAGGACTGGAGTCCAGACCCGACCGACGCCATGCCCGGTCAGTGAACACACCGCTCTGAGCGCAGAGAAGGAGACCGCAGCTGAAGAGAAAGATCTTACTCGTGTGTTTGTTCTCAGATAAAATGGGCTCGAAGCGCCGCTCGTCCGACATCATCAGCCTGCTGGTCAGCATCTACGGCAGTAAGGAGATCTTCATAGACGAGTACAGAGGCGTGCTCGCCGACAGGCTGCTGCAGCAGCTCAACTACAACACGGCCAGGTACGACCGCACCAGCGCCCGGCTTAAAGCTGAGAGAAAGTGTTGGTACTTTGAACATGTCGGGTCACTGATAGCAAAGTAAATGCTCACGCCCGTCCTGCTTTCTGCGTCTTCAGGGAGATTCGTAACGTGGAGCTGCTGAAGCTGCGGTTCGGCGAGTCTCACATGCATTACTGCGAGGTCATGTTGAAGGTAAACATCTGGAATATGGATCGTTAACCGGATATTTTAGGACATTCCCTGAAAGGATGAATTTCTGAGAACGTTGTGATTACCCGATGGATGCAGGACATGGCGGATTCTCGCAGGATCAACAGCAACATCCGCGAGGAGGAGTCAAAGCTGAGCGAGGAGGAGCAGCCGCCGCTGCCCCTGTCGGCCATCATCCTCTCATCTGAGTTCTGGCCCACGCTGAAGGAGGAGAAGCTGGAGCTCCCTCCTGTCGTCTGCCAGGCCATGGAGGCCTACACCCACCGCTACGAGAAGCTGAAGGTGGAGTTGACCCACTGTGGCGTCTCTGGTTTGGTTTGCAGTAGAAACCAAATGCACAGCTACGCTTTTACCTGCTGAGTCGAGTCCCGTTTGTGTTTCAGGCCATGAGGACGCTGAGCTGGAAGCCTCACCTGGGCTCGGTCACTCTGGACGTGGAGCTGGAGGACCGAGTCCTCACCAACCTCACGGTCTCACCCATCCAGGCTGCCACCATCATGTACTTCCAAGAGAAAAGTAAGGACTTTCATTTCAGAGCGCTTTCATGCTGTGAAATGTAATTCTGCGATGACCCCTGATGTTTTCCTGACATGGCGATGTCATGGTTGTAAACTATCGGCTCTGACATCGCTCGTTACGCTGCGTGGAGTTGAGGGAGATGCAGTTTGATCGTCGTGTACCTGCTCGTCCTCTCAGGTTCTTGGACGTTGGAGGAGCTGAGTGCGAAGCTGGGCGCCCCGAAGGAGCTGGTGCACAGGAAGCTGGCTCTGTGGCAGCAGCAGGGCGTGCTGAGGGAGGAGGCGGGCGGCCACTTCTACGTGGTGGAGAAGGGTTCGTCGAAAGAGAAGCTGGACAGAGGCGTGATGCTGATCGACAGCGACGAGGAGAGGGACTCCAACACCGCCACGCAGTCCGAGCAGAGGGAGGAGAAGCTGCAGGTACACACTTCATTCATCCCGCTGTCTCAGGGTTATTTACTTAGTTACTTTAAGTATTTGAAACCTGGCACCTGATGATGTGCCGCTTCTTTTCAGTCGTGTTATAAAAATCACTTAATAATGAATGACAGTGGGTGTTTTAGGATCACATGCTCCATAAATCACGAGCTTATTGTTGTGAACGACTTGGTGCACCCGCATGATCCCAGGAGGGTAACTCACCCCTGGTTGGGTCTCCTAAGGAGGTCTTTCATGGGAGAGCGCCTGAGAGCCGGGATCTTAGCCACTGAGGCACAGCTGTGGACAGCCCACCTCTTGTGGGAGGGGCCGTAGGGAACGTCACCGCTCTGCTGGGGAAGCAGCTCAAACGAGCGCTTCAGGCTGAAAAGTATCAGCTAGTTCTAGTTAGGTCTTAAACTCTCACAGTAAGCACACTGCGCCTCTGTCTCTGCAGCTGTTCTGGGTCTACGTCCAGGCCATGCTCACCAACCTGGACACCATGACACTGGAACGCATACACACCATGCTGCGGATGTTCGTCGCTACGGGACCCGTCGTCACGGAGATGGACGTGAACGAGCTGGAGGCGTTCCTGCAGAGGAAGGTCAGGGACCATCAGCTCATAATGTCCGGCAACGTCTACAGGCTGCCCAAATCCAACTGATGACTGTGCTGCGTTCAAGTGCGTCGGGATATGTGGAAGATTCCAGCGTTTGTTTTGCTCTGAGGGATTTTTACTAAAAGGGCTCATGGAGTAAATATGGAACAATTCTCACTTAAATTTCCTGGATTTTTCCATATGATGTGAAAGCAGCATGGATTTAAATAAAAAAAAAGAAAAGGAAAAGCAGTGTTTGTTTTTTCAAAATAAAAGCACTTCCACTCCTTTAAGCATCAGTACGGACAGATTTGACGCTGCACCTGGAGATAAATGTAAAGGTGTTTGGTGAACACCGATGTGTAAAACTGGTTAATAAACAGAATCATTTCAAAACCACTTTCATCTGTGCCTTTTTCTAACAGCTGCAGTTCTTCCCAAAGTATAGAGCAAACATTTCAGCCTCTCCTGGTTCTCTCTGAGATGAAAACAAGAGTTTATTTTGAAAACCACGGGCGGAAGGGCCTGCAGCTGCAACAGTGGGAACACACACTCTCTGACAACAAAGAAACACCAACAGCTGCAGTTCCTCTAATGTCCAGCAGAGACTCCAGCAGCGAGTCAGTCCCCATGTTAAAGCTTTACAGCAGTAATAAAAGTGTCTGACACACAAACTGGTCTCTGTAGAGAATTTCCCCGTCATAATCGATTGTCCCAAAAATCAGAACAGAATTGGGGAAAAGGGCTTTTAAACACGCTGCCCCGGCTTCCTGGAACAATCTGCAGAAGGAACTGAAATGATCTGAGAGTTTAAGTCTGTCTCAAAGGAACGAGAGAACAGCTCTTTGACTCAGTGTGATTGTTTTTAATGTACTCTTAATTTGATCTGTTATTGTATATTTTCCACATGGTATGGGGATATTGTATTGGTTG